GAATGATAGGAAGCGTTGTCAAAAACTATCACACTATTCACATCCAAATTTAGGATCAATGTGTTTTCAAACCATTCCTCAAAAATATTAGCTTCCATGTTCTTATGATAGTCAACATTGCAGTTCTCAAGTTTTTTTTCACATAATTTCAAAGAATTCGGTACCCATCCTTTACTTCCTCTACAATTCACAATGATTAGTAGCGATCCTTTGATTGCAAGCATGTTAGGCGTACACATTCTCGAACCATCAGTCCACCCTTTCGTAACTGTGTGGTGAGTTTCATACCAAGTTTCGTTCAAATAAAAAATTTGCCGTTGTTCTTGTCTATATTTAGTTATTTGTTCTAAGTATTTGTTACGCAATACCACTATTCTTCTGCTTTCCATTACTGCTTGACGTTTGTTTATTATTTTAAATCTAGATCCTAGTTTCTTTATCCAATTCTGAAGAGGTTTGTCACAGCAGCTCACGTTATGGCCAGAAGTATTCAATTTCTTCGTTATAATTTCAGTTTAGAAATCTCATTGCTTTTGTAACAATTGTATATTGTTTTTTCCAATGATTTTATTAGATGAACATCTATGATTTTGTAAATCTTTAATGTTGTTTATTGAAAGTTGACTCACACAGTAATGGAAGAGAGGCTAATTAATTGTTGTATAGATTGTAACTGAAGATTAATAAAACTGGGAGCGAGTTCTTGAAAAGAAAAAATGTTTGTGTATATGTTTGAGGTGAAAACTTTTTCCTCAACTTGAGATTTCGAGGTTCGAATTTTTTATCGAGTGAGCACGCGATTTTATGTTTTTCTTTAATAATAACGGTGGTTCAATATTGAAGATAAAACAGTTATAGAAATTCTAAAAAATCTATACTTATAAATATGAAAGTCACTCACTTAACACTCGTTCATCTCTGTTTCTCCGTACTGGTGAGTCCTAGGAAGCTAAAATTTGGTATTTAGGTGCTTTTTAAGTTTTAGGTGCTCACTAAGAAATGGTTTTCAAATATTCCAACTGGCGCGCCCCCGTGAGGGTTGAAGGGGTGCGTTTACATATGAAAATTACCTTTTCATCACCGTTCTTCCTTACCGGTATATTTTCGGAGGCTGAAATTTTGTGTGTAGGTCCGTTTTATGTTATAGATGTGCAATAAGAAAGGATTTGTAAATATTCCAACTGGTGCGCCAGTCGCGGGGAAAAAAGGCGCGTCTATAAAACAAAATTATCTCTTCATCACTGTTTCTCCATGCCCATAAATTTCCGGTGGGTATATTTAATATCAACATTGCACCCCTGCGGAGTCGGGACGGATCGCTAGTTGTTCATATACCTGATATTAGATGAAGCAGAAGGGCCTTGCATTGGCACTGCAGACAACATTTATATACTCGTATACTGTAGTTGATCACCTACCCATTCAAAACACTCATGATAAAAGAATATTATAGATTGTAAATTCCATTGTATAAAATAGTGTAAACAATTTGAATTTTAAGAGAAGATATTCAAGAATCTGTCTAAGCGACAGTCTAAGGAAGTCGGATGGTATCTCAAAAGCTTTCTTCTTTCATTTAATAATTTGAGTATAATATTTATATTCCGTTTTACTTACAGGTTATTTGCTTTCCAAAGAAGAAGGTCAACCCGGCACGCCAGAGAAACCTCTTTCTGATCTTGGTAGAGTATCTTATCATGCTTATTGGAGGTCTGTAATTTTGGAGTACCTATTTACCCATCGGAACGAAAAAATGAAACTGATCGACATCAGTAAAGAAACTGGAATGTATTCCCATGACATATCACTGACATTACAAATGCTTGGCTTCGTCAAATACATTCCTGATGGGGATGAAATCAAACCTATAATTTGTGTTGACTGGGCAAAAGTCAATAGTCATTACGAGAAAATTTCCAAGTCGAAAACAAGAATTCCAATTGACTATGAGTGTCTTAGATGGACCCCTCTTGTGGCGGCAGCTGTTAACCCTTTCTTCGAACCTAGATCTGATGAAGAAAAAGACAGCAGCCTCAAAGAAACTGCTGATATAGTTGTACCCGTGCCGGAAAAAATAATTATTGAAACTCAACAAGGGGTGAAGATGAGAAGAGGTAGAAAGAGGAAGATTTCTACTGCATTGCCACGAACACCAAAGAACTTGAAAAGAGAGACCAAATCCCCAGTTGTGGTGCCAGCGGATAATACTGCCAATGTAGAAGAAATTGAAATCACTTCTTCGGGGAGGAAACGTACAAGACCCAGTAAATTCAATGAAACTACATTTGCTGATGTAAAAGCCAAAGTGATATCTGAGAGCACTAAAAAAAGGAAACGTGCTGATCTGGTGGTTGATGAAACAAAGAAGGTTAGTAACAGCGAGGCACCCCAAAGATCAGATCCGACCCCTGTTAAGCAGAAGTCGCTGGGCTCGAAAATGCCTAGAAGGTCTTTGGTTAAATTGGCAGGACAAGAACCACAGGTAATAAATTTGAAAATAATATTGGTAATTCAAAAAAGTGAATGCTTTTATGTTACGTTACACATAAAGTGAAACTCAAGGCTGCGTGTACGCTATGACTATGTTGCATTAGAACGCATATTGAACATTCCTTCTCTAGAAGCCTAAAGCTTCTGTTTAAAATTATCAACAGTCTGAGTACCAACCCCGAGCTTCACTCCAAATTATCTCTATTTGTCCCCAGTTCAACTAGGCAGTTGCCTAGTTGCCAGATTCAACTACTCATACAACAGCTTTATCCCCAGAACTCTTCGATTAAGCAATTTCTTGAACAACCTTCAAATCTTTAATATTACATTTTCCCGCTTCAAAAACCATATTCTTCACCTAGCTGTTGTATTGTGTTAACTGTTACTTGTATGCAGGACCGGATTAGCAACTATTTACACCCTAGGCCAGAGATCTACATTACGCCCCCTCCCAGCAGACATTCGGGGAGGGGGGGGTGGCATTTTCGGCATATTAAATGGTGCGCCCTACCTTTCCGGCAAAACTAAAAAAATTGTGTGAGAGATTACAAATATCTCGGTTATTATTTAGATTATCAGTGAATTCACACAATTCATTACAAAATTCTTTTATTTGTTGATACTTGATTTCATCTTCCAAAGTATTTATGTAACGCATCATGTAGTCATTCACTTTCTCCAGTTTTTTGGAAGTTGTAACGTATGATTTCTTCTGCTTCTGTCTTTTTCTCCATGTCGAAAGATATTTTGAGAGCTAAATGATCAGATCCTAGATCGGGTGTTACCTCTACTTCTATAATATTTGATATAATGTTATTTGTGTTGGTAATACATCTGGAGTTGTGTCACTGTTTGGCATAATAAATGTTGGAGGAGTTTCTCATTTTTGGAAAGGAGCATTTGTCAGGAAGGTATCTTCTTCATTCTATTGTTGACATTGAAATCTCCGATAATGATAGCATATTTATAGACATGGTTTTGTAAAAATGACCTCTTCAGTACGAGCTGATGGATGTATGTACACTAAAAAAGTGTGCAGTTTGTCATCTAGGAAGGGGATTGTGAAGTATATGCATTCATTTAAATGATGGTGGCTGAACTAGAGTACCCCCTCTGATTCGGTTATGTAATTGATTACCATTTAGCTGTATAACTGACCAGTCTATGTATGATGTGTTTGAGTCATCTTTGCTATTTGTTTCCACAAACAATGAACAATCAATACTATTATTCTCAATGTAGTTGCAAATGATGTGTTTTCTGTATGAGTAGCTGTTTATGTTGCAATATAGCAGATTAATTGGACGTGAATGTGCTTGTATTATTGTTGACTGGTTCTGTTGGAGAGATGGAGCCTTCAGATCCAAGATCGTAGATTAGTATGTAAACACGGTGACCGGAAAATACAGCTGTGGTATCTACATTGAAATTGTTTACAAATCTGTTTCTTAATTTTTGAACTAGTTCCTGTCTATTAGTGTTTATCGCGTTATTCAGTTCATTGACATATGAGTTGATAAAGTCATGAACTGTTAGGGCTTGGTGAATTATGCAGTTTTTCTTCCCTTCTGGTATTTCATGAGATTTTTTGTTGATAGATTCAATTTGTATATTAGGTACACCTGGAATCATTGTAGTGGGTATCATTGGGCATTTAAATGACCACGCTTGTGTTCCGCGGAACCACATCCTGTACATTTTGGTGGTAAGGTGGAGGTATACTGGTTCTCTGGATGTAAACCCTGGCATTTCTCGTTCTATGCCACTTATAGCAACAGAGTAGCTTTCTGTTTGTGAGGCTGATTTGGGGGCTGTAGAATTAGGTTGAGTTTCTCCGAAATTGCTTATCTTCTTGAATAGTACAAGTCTTTCAAGAGTATCTGTAACTCTCTTCAAATCATTCGTTTTGAGTATGAATCTTTTCTTTGTTCAAATTATTTCATCAGTGACCTGAGGAAATAGTTTTTCCCACATGTTGAAGAATGCTATTCTGGAATACCCTGTATCTGCAGCTAGAAAGAAAGTGTGCTGGTATTTTTATGGGTAATTTCTTTCATTAATGGTGAGAAGTTTTTGTATTGTTGGTTTTTTGGATTGGAAT